ATACTAAAATGTTGTATCCGGATACGATACTCATTTTCAAAAGTATCGATACTAAAATGTTGTATCCGGATACGATACTCGTTTTCAAAAGTATCCATACTACCGCGCTGCCCCCCTTCTCTCTGATTTATTTATGTATTTATTTACGTTGTTTATGATCATTAACAAGACATTAGCCTTGAACTGCTAGCTGCGGCTAATGGCTAATAGTAACATGCTACCATTAATCAAGTACACATCCAACTCCGCCCACATCCAAGTCGGCCATTTTGATTAGGTCACCAATAGGAAGATCCCAGGCAAGAAAATCCTAATTGCTTCATGGCAATATAGACATTAATTTAAAAATAGTGAAATGAATCTTTCAAACACTTAATTAAACTCTATCTATAATATTATGTTAAAATAGTGGATATTAAATAGGTTTGTACAATAAGTCCGAACAAGTTTAACCAAAAAATATTTATTTCTCACAATTATGAAGGCTGGAGGGTTAGGGTTAGGGTCAGGGTTAGGTTTAGGGTTAGACTGGTGGCCCACATTAATGTGGGCCACCAGTCAGGATAACATCAGTAACAGGTCAGATTGAAATGAAAGACACAATTCAGTTAAATTTTGGGGTCTTTGTTTTTATCCTTGTGGTATCGAAAATGGTATCGAGTATTTTTCTGAGTATCGGTATCCAGTTGAATATTTTAGTATCGTGACAACCCTATCAGGCTGGCTCACACAGAGCGGACAGCAGAGCTCAGACGGGGCTTTCAAATGCTCCGGACACGGTGGGAAATTCTCCACATACGTTCTGGCGTGTTGCCCTTTGCCGCTCGTCTTCTTCTTCCTGGCCCCCCTCCTCCTCCTGGGCGCCTCCTGGGCTCCTCCCTCCTCCTCCTCCTGCTCCTCCTCCTCCTGCTCCTCCTCGGTAGGAGCCTCCTTACCTTCGCCGTCTGACTCTTTTAGCTTCCTAACACACAGAAAACAGCTTTTACCAGCAGTCTGAGACCAAAAAAAAGGAACAAATGAGTCACTCACTCAGCATGAAGCGGCTAACGTAGCATGAAGCCACTTGCCTAGCATTAGCAGCTAACTTAACATGAAGCCACTTACCTAGCATTAGCCGCTTACTTTGCATGAAGCTGTAAACGTAACATGAAGCCGCTTACTTAACATTAACGGCTAACTTAATGTGAAGCTGTTTACTTAACACGAAACGGCTAACTTAATATGAAGCCGCTTACGTAGCATTAGCCGCTTACTTAGCATGAAGCTGTAAATGTAGCATGAAGCCGCTTACTTATCATGAAGCGCATAACTTAGCATGAAGCCGTTAACGTAACATTAGCGGTTAACTTAACATGAAGCCGCTTACCTAGCATTAGCCGCTAACTTAACATGAAGCTATAAACGTAACATGAAGCCGCTTACTTAACATAAACGGCTAAATTAACGTGAAGCTGTTTACTTAACACGAAACAGCTAACGTAGCATGAAACCGCTTACTTAACATGAAGCGGCTAACTTAACATGAAGCCGTTAACTTAACATTATCAGCTAACTTAGAATAAAGCCGCTTACCTAACATTAGCCGCTAACTTAACATGAAGCTGCTTATTTAACATTAGTGGCTAACTTAGCATGAAGCCGCTAACTTAACATTAGCGGTTAACTTGGCACGAAGCAGCTAACTTAATATGAAGTCGCTTACTTAACATGAAACGACTAACGTAGCATGAAGCCGCTTACCTAGCATTAACCGCTAACTTAGCATGAAGCCGCTAACCCAACATTAGCAGCTAACATAGCATGAAGCCGCTTCCTTAGCACGAAGTGCCTAACTTAGCATGAAGCCGCTTATTTATCATGAAGCCGCTAACTTAACATTATCAGCTAACATAGCATGAAGCCGCTAACTTAACATTATCGGCTAATTTAGCATGAAGCCGCTAACTTAACATTATCGGCTAATTTAGCATGAAGCTGCTTCCCTTAGAACGAAGCGGCTAACTAAACATGAAGCCACTTACTAAGCATTAATATCCAACTTAGCATAAAGTTGCTTACTTAACATTGATGTTTAACTTAACATTAATGTCTAATTTAGCATCAGGGACTAACTTAGTAGGAGGCCGTTTACTTAGCATTAGTGTCTAACTTAACATTAGCGACTAACTTAGTAGGATGCTGTTTACTTAGCATTAATGTCTAACTTAGCATGAAGCCGCTAACTTAACATTAGTGTCTAACTTGGCAAATCTGAGGATTTAACTCACTTCGAGGGCGTGGAGTCGATTTCCGCCAACACATCAGCCGACAGCAGTTTCCTTTTCTGAGGAGAAAACCGTTCAAGTTATTTCAAACCGGCAGCTTTCGAAGCCAGAAGCCACTAAAACAAAGAGAGAAAGACGCTATCCGCTTAGTCCGAAAGAGTTTCAAGACCTCAGTCACAAAAAAAAATACGTTGGATCTGAGCTGGTTTAGCAGCTTTGTTAAATGAGCCTCAAATCAAACTGACGATCGGCACCCAGCGTTCCAACAGCCCCTGAATGCACCACCTGCTCAAACTGGTGCTGAAAAGAGCCTAAAATCCCACACAGCCTGCAGAGGGAGACACCATGTTCCGGGAAAAGGTTAAAAAAGGGGGGTTCAGGGCCTCTAACGGCCAGGTTTCTGCTGTCACTCCGGCCAGAAATAATATAATAATCCCAGAGGGAAATTATTTAAACTATTATTATGATTTCCCTGAACTAAACAGCAATTTAAAAAAAATCCAAGAGGCTGACGCCAAAATACAATCAGTCTCATGATAGAAATGGAGGCTTTTAAGGTCAGCAGATGGTGGGAAAAAGAGGATTTTACTACTTGGAAGTTAGACTAACACACCAAAAAAAAAAAAGGTTTTTCTGAATGTATGAGTTCAAATGGAGTCAAACGGGTCCCACTTTTCCCGTCACGGCTCCAGATCCATCAGCAGAATCCACTAAAAACAGAACTGACAGGGAATCCAGGCTTAAACGAGCACTTTTAACAGCCCCGTACAGGTGCTCTCTGACGCAAAAGAGAGCTCTGGTAGTTTGATTCTGCTTTTGTTGGACATGGGAGCAATTAAGTTGAATTCTCAACAGGCAAACTTTGAATGGCGTCCACACCTTCTGCTCCTGGAACAGCTCCTGCCTCCTCCTGCGCTTCTCTTTGAGCTCCTCTCGTTCCCTGCAAACACCACAAAGTTTCCGTCACCTCCCCGAAACATCCAGCCTTCAAAATGTTCAACCAGGTAAACGAAACGCGAGCATTAAAAAGTGCGCAGTTCAACGTGGCGCATCTCTTACGCTCTTAAAAAATAAAAATTACCACTTAAATTTAAAATTAAAATAAAATTATAAACAGCCGACTTATAGACGTAATCTTATTCTCAGTTAATAAGCAATTACATTGAACTTATAGCGTAAACATCCCGCACTTTGACCAAAACAATCCCTAAATGCGGGCTGTTTTGAACGGAGTTCAGCGTTAGCCGGCTAGCCACCTTTTGGCGGTGTCCAGCGCGTGCTTCATGCTCCGGAGAGCCTGAACTTTCGAGTCTTCAAACGTGACTTCCTCCGGTGCCTCTTCGTCACTGGACTCAAATGCCATGGCGAAATGTTTCCCCTGTTTTTCGCTGTCGGTTTTCCCGGCCGAGGACCTGGTTTTCGCACGTTGTTTCTTCGCCATGTTGACTGGAATGACGTACGTCATCACTTCGCGACACTACGTGACGTCAGTTTCCAGGAAGTAAACAAATCGTTTCACCTTTTTATCTTATATGTACATTTTACGTTCATAAAGCTGAAATATAAAGAATAAACCCCTTTTTTATATAATTTTAATCAGATACAATCTTTATTTTAACCGTATT